GGTTATGTGACTTTGCGTGAAAGTAATACGACTTGCCTTTTTTCCGTTTTGGATGTTTTATGAATTTAAAAAATAAAAAAATTTAATATTTTAGGCAAAAAATATTTTTTTTCTTCATACATTTATTTTTACCGGCAAAACTGTTGATTATATAGAAAAACATTATATGAACAGATTAAAGGAATTGTAATTTTTAATTTTTTTAAATTTGTTTGAGCAAAATCGGACTAGTGGTTCTCGAGTTATGTCAAAAAAAAAGACCACCAAAGGTGACAATTTCCCCTATATGATAGTTACTAACTTCAAATCGATATATCTCGATTCCTTGATTTTGACCGATATAACATTTCCCGTTGGTTTCATCCCATCCCGATTTTGACTGTCGCATAGTGTTATCCAACACACAAAAATTGAGAGAGCAAGCGTTAATTTTGATGCAAGAGAAGCGTTCATTTTGTACTGGCAAAATTTTAGTCAGCAAAAATGATCCAACACGAAAACATATGATCACAATACATATGGTTGCAATTTTTGTAAACAAACAAAATTGCATTTTCCGAGTTTTGGTATTTACATGCTTTTTGGCTGCCTGCTATGTGACTTTATGATAGCGCCAACTAGTTTTTACTTCTATAAATGTCCCTGGCTATAAATGTTACCGGCAAAACTGTTGATTATATAGAAAAACATTATATGAACAGATTAAAGGAATTGTAATTTTTAATTTTTTTAAATTTGTTTGAGCAAAATCGGACTAGTGGTTCTCGAGTTATGTCAAAAAAAAGACCACCAAAGGTGACAATTTCCCCTATATGATAGTTACTAACTTCAAATCGATATATCTCGATTCCTAGACGTGACCCAGCAAAACGCCGGGACACGTATAACTTCTTTTTTACCGATATAAATTTCCCCGGTAGTTTGAACCCTTCCCGATCACTGACCCCTACCATTTGTCTCACAGTGTAATTTTTTGTCGTTATCGAACGCCATCCAGTAAAAATTTGGAAAAACTATTACAAATTTTTGACTTGTCGAACACAACTATCATTTGAAACAGTACGCTTAATTGTTGCCTTCACTGTATCAAAAGTTTGTTCGTTACCTGACGCCACTAACGAAGTGTCCGTAACAGATAACTCCCGCTATCACACTACATGTTGTCTGGCCTAACCTCATTTGTTACACCCATATTTTTTAATAAATAAATCGGTAGTTTTAAGCAATTTTACTAACTTAGCCTCAGTGGCTTTTCATAAGCTTGCCC